GAGTTATCTGTAAGGAAAATACATAACACCTTAAGAATTCTGTTTTCTGACATTGATCCAGAGAGCTTTGCATGCCAAAGAGGGATTGGGACAGAGTGACCCGATAGCCAGAGGGTGCACCTGAATTTCTGCCACCCTTGGAACTAGAATGGTGCTTCAGGACTATATTCAAATCTCTTGTCCACACATCATGGAGACCTGAATATTCCTTACAGGGGTGATGCTCAGCTCCAAAGGCAGAAGTATCAAGGCTGACACCACTCCAGTGGCACCAACTTGCTCCTGAGGATCAGAGTTGTCAGTCTCTCCTAGGAAAAGCTGGATAATTCCCATTTCCTAAAGGAATGCTCTAATTACCACCCAATAAAACTTTCCTCAGAGGAGGCCCAGGGCTGGAGTGCAAGTCTTGATCTTCCTATCAAACACCAGCCTCTCTGCATATAGGAATGTAGAAGTCACGGGGCAGGCAAAGAGCAAGATAGAGCCCAATCCTGTAGCAAGGGCATGTGACAGGGACCGACCTGACCTTCCTTGGCTGTCCCTGAGCTGAGGGAGTCTCAGTGGGACTTTTCTCAGAGGAATCTCCTTCCATCAGCAAGGAGGAAATCCGTCCCTCTTTGATTAGGGACTGAGCATACTGGCCTTTTTGTCCATGAGGAACAACTGTGCTATCCTGGCATGCCCTTTGAACCATTTCTGATATTTGTTTGCAGACAAGCCATCCAACAGCTTTTCCTGAGCAATTAACATAGCTCATGTGGGTTTTGTGGGGCCACAAGGCATCTTGCTTTTCTTCTACTGCTCATGTGGCTGCTTGGAGCTGGAGGCAGAAGGAGAGGCAGATATGGAGATGTGGGATCTGGGTGGCACAAGAAATGTTACACATTTTCTCTTCTGCTGTAGGGCAAGCATGGGATCTAAGGATGACTGAGCAGGCAGAGACTGCAGTTTGAGTAACAAAATGGTGTTCCTTGTATATCTGCACTGGCCTTTGAGATGTCCTATGGCTCACTGCTGCTATTGCAAACTCTGCTGTATTTAGGCCAATCTAGACTCCTCAGCAAACTTATAATATTCAAATCATAATGGTTTGGAAGAGAAATAGATGATGGAAAAGGATCAAAAGAGGAGAGAAGACTAAGAAAGGAGGAAAAAAATGGAAGAGGAGTTAGTGGAGGGTAGGCACTTCCCACTAAGAAAAGTATATAGATACTGGAAGGATGGTCAGGGTTTTCTCACTGTAAAATGGAGTTTCTCAAAAACTGAACTATTAGGGTATCCTGGAACAGCACAAGCTGGGAAAGGCTGGGCACCCAAGTTATTTTCAGTACTCTTTATTTTGCAGTTGGTCATAGGAAAAATGTGATATCGCATGATTTTTCTAAGCCATTCTTCATTTTCATTCTTGTAGTTTCAAGTTCTCTGTACAATGTGGCACTTGTTACTATGATTTATGGCTTTAGGTGAACAATGTACTATATGTGGTGTTAATTGCACTGGATAGAATCCAGAGGCATTAAAAAGCTTCTCTTCCCTCCTCTGCTAATAAGATTTGATTTCTGAACTGTCAGGAGGGATTATTTATTAGAGCATCATGTTTGTGATTCTGCACAGTAGCTAAGTGTCAGCTCTGTCACTCTAACACATTTTATTTCCTTCTCCCTCTGCATAGTTTTGACAGAAAAGACAATTGATGTGTGCTGAAACCTGGCTTAGGTATGTCTGTTCTGGGCAGCAGGAGTATAATGCAAATGAATATAGGAGTTTAGGGACAGATATAAAAAGAGGACTTGGTCAACTTTGGAAAATATGCCTTGCAACAATATTCCTGATGAGAGAATGAGACGTGAAGTATTTTATTTGAAGTTAATGGATTCATTACGTCCATAGGTTTGAGCAGATGATAAGAAAACAGGGGGTTCTAAGTGTAATAATAGCTCTAAAGCAGTTTCCTTCTTTGGTTTAGCAGTTTCCTTCTTTGGTTTGTAGTCATTTAATCTTCTTCCTTAGGTTTCCCATTACCCAAATGCAGATACATACTTCTTGTTTGTCTGAGTTAAAGATAGGTTGATGGGTTAGTGTACTGCACTGCACTGTCTTTCATAAAAAAGTCCAATTTTCTTTTTAGTTATTTATAAAAATAAATAGTTTTGATTGTTCTGGTTGATTAGGGTGTTTTGCCTCACAAATTTTGCCTCTATCTAAATATTTTGTAGTACAATGTTCCTGTCAAATACCAAAAAAAAAAAAAAAAAAAAAAAAAAAAAAAAAAAAAAAAAAAAAAAAAAAAAAAAAGTGGTGTGTAAACTCTCTAAAAATAAGCTAATAAACTAAATATGTTAATATGTTAATGTAGTAAGACTTCAAAAATAAAATAGTAAGCAGACAGGACAAATAGGGAAGAATAGGTAGTGTTGATTCAGTTGTGATGTGTTTCTTATGACATGCATTTGATATCATCAAACAAAATATGTTCTGCTGCATGTTTAACTGGAAAAACAGGAATAAAAAAATGAATAATCAAGGCAGCTGCAACAGTGTTACCTCTAGATTCTCACAGTATAGTTAGTATAAAAATTGTATATTTTTTTAAAAAATCTGGTTAATCTGGTATGTCTTTCACCAATTTTGAAAACTCTTAATGTTTACATTTTCTACATGTTTTCTTTTTTAACTATGTAGTTATAATGTTACATTAGTCTAACTTTTTGTTCAATTGCCATGTTTGTTTTGAAAGAGAAGCCGACCTGTCTGCACTTAATAATGTGAACAATTAAATATTCTCAGTAAGATTCTCACTCTGCCAGCTAAGCGTTCTCAAAAGATTTTTTTTAATTGCCTTATATGTTGCTTTTAATTACATTCCTTTCCCAAGTGATTATATCCTCATATAGGCCCCATTCCTGCGAGCTATCCTGGCACAGAAGCAGAGAGTTAGAGGCAGAAAAGTGCTGGGAAGGACTGCCAAGGGAAAAAAGGCATAGCCCTTCAGTCAAAATAGAGGGGTGCCAGGAAAGCTGCGAGTCTTGCAAAGGGTTGTCTTTGGTGAAGAAGCCAAATAAAAAAAAAAATAATAATAATAATTCTGGAGGCACTGGGAACTAGTAGGCTGTAGTTATCTACATGGATGGAGACTACTGGGAGTTGTCAGAAGGATCTTCTGGAGCACGAGAACGAGGTATGAAATGCAGAAAGAGTCTTTATTTGGGGGAACAAAGTATAGGGTGCCTGGGGCTGGGCCACAGGGATTATTCTTTTATTGCCTCTGGGTTACTGCCTGCCTGGCGCCGGAGGCAAGAGGTACAAAGGCAGCAGGGCATCCCCAGGGGAGCTTCTGAAAGGAGAAGAGCTGGATCCAGGGAAGAGCCAGGCAGAACTCAGCTGAAAGACCCTGGCCTGGGCAGCAGGAGAAGTTGGCAGGGAAAAGACCCCTGGTCACCCTGAAAGGAGTGGAGGGTTACTTTAATAAGCAAGAGAACTGCTGAGGAAGCACAGCTCCCATCACAGAGGAATTAGAAAAGGGAGTTTGTATCACTTCTCAGCAACTGAGGGAGTTATTTTGTACAGAGCCCAAGATCTAGGCTAGAACGAAGGCGGTTAGGTAATTTTGAAGCCTTTTTCAGCAGAAAGCAGGCAAATTTAGGTAGTCTTGCCCTCAAGCACTTTATTTTAGCATGCTAGTCAGCTGCAGTTTAATGTGGAAGAGCATGTTCCAGGTTACAAGTGTTTGGCAAGAGCCACATCTGCGACTATAGCTCAAATCCACTGCTGATGTTGACCACCCTCTAGCAGAGGTGCTGGACCAAGGTGCCAAGGAATCCAGCACACAGCTGTAAACTGCAGATCTGAGGCTTACGTGGGATTATTTCAATTTACTGATCACCTGCATGTTTAAAGCTTACCATCCCAGTATACTTTGTCTGCCTGAGTCTTAATTTCTCTAGTTTAGACTATATAATGACAATGGTCAACATTCAGTAGAAACACTGTGTATCTTATTTCATGTCTGACAACGTCTTAATTGTAGCTACTGCGTTTTCTTATATGTCCGCCTACTGAAATGAAAATTGCTTCTATCATCTTTATTTGGTGTGTAGTCAGTATTGCAGGTCCAAGCATGACGATATTTATTTTAAAATACTTATTTTAATGTCCCTGATTGTACAGGGTTCTTGCCTTTAGATTTTTTCCACTAACAATCAGAACTAGACTGTTTGGGGGAGGATTGCCTTATTTCCAGCTGGAGTTACTGAATGTATAGATTCAGTTAAACCTTGGCAACCTGAAGAGATGATTTTTATATTCAGCATAAATGCAGTGGCGGAAGTCAGGGTCAGCCTCACATTAGGAATACATGATTAATTGCCTAGTAAAAATTATCCTTAAGCCTTAACTTGGTTATAGATTTCCAAAATACAGACACCTCTTGTATAATTGTAATATACATGCTTAATGCTAGGGCTAATGACATTACATTTAGCTGTGTTCAAGTGCATATTATTTAAATGAACTCAGCTACTCATGCAATCCAGATTGCTCCCAAGTGTCATCTCCTTTTTTAATAGCTAGCAGTCATGACAGGTTTTCTTTGTAACATACTATAAGCAAAGCTACTTCACAAGCACTAATGAGCTTAGTTGAATATATAAACAAAAGTCAAAAATACAAAGAAGACATTTATGCAAACTTTAATTCTATGTTTCTTAAATCTTTCCTTTTACTTTTAACAGATGAAAAATAGTATTTGCCAGATGAGATAGTGTTACCTAATGGAAATAATTCTTGGGTGACCTCTTCAGCATAACTTGGCCACTTCTTAATTGAGTTTTTCAAGGAATACAGCCAATGTTGTGATCTCCATAGATCTCCAGGTCTAGCACCTGGAAGGTAAAAAGAAACAGGAATTATCTGTATTTTCTTCTTCTGCAGCCCACTGCTAAGTGGTTTCCATTCATGTCACTCCATGGAAGAAATGCACGTTTGTCAACTTTTGATTTCTTCATGGACTCAGTGCATCTATATGAGAAGACATTAAAAAAAGTAAGTGCAGAGCTGCTGTAAATCCTTAGACATGGGCAGACAGATTCTGTTTTTTTTTAGTTGCTTTCCATGAGAAATGCAAATATAGCACGTGAATCCAGCTGTGTTTATAAGGTCCTCTGTGACATCTTGCTCTAAAAGTTGGGACAATTAAAGTCTGTTCCATATTCAAAGTGAAGGGAGAGATTAGGCCCCATTTTGGGTACAATATGTAAGAACAAAGACCTTTTCCTAATAAAGGTCTTTTAAATAACGAGGAGATAGCAGATCTTATGAACAGATGTTTTGCAAAAGGAATATAAAATCTGTATTTTCTGCAAGTATTGCTGTAAGAGACACTAGAATATATTACAGTTCCTTCTTATAATGTTCTTATACATCCCTAAACTGAATTATTTGAGTGGGCATTGAGGAAAAGTACAGATAGAATATCTGTATTATCTTAGAGATACAGATACATGTAACTACGAAGAGGTAAACTCTTCATCTGCTTTTCCCATTTATTTTTTCCCTCGACCATTGCTACTAATACATGTGTTGTTCACACCAGTGAGAGGAGAATGCAGCTGAGTCTTTGCATCCAGCAGCTCTACACTGCTGTAGGTTCAAAAACTAAGCTAAGAAAAAAGCAGTAATACTGAATAGAAGAGGCGAAAGCAAAAGACTCACTCCACAAAATGCACCATAATTAAGATAGCAATAACTAATTCAGATAGTAAGTTAAGTTTCTATGTCAAAACATATACTTAGCCTATATTAATGCCAAGGGAGCCAAATAAATACACTTGCATCCACCTGCAAATTAATTATTTTTGTTAGCTACTAAATATAGATGGCCTTTAGCCACATAAAAATTGGGATGGAAGATCTTACGTTTGTAGTCTTTGACTGCATTGTGCAGTAGTTTATTAATTTTCTTCATTTGACTGTAATACCCTGACTCAAAAATTTTCACCTTGTAAGATTAATTCAAGTTCTCTTCCTGTCATTGCCACACATGCCTGCTTTTCCAAAGTCAGTAGGAAATGTGTAAAGCATAGTATGCAAACAAGGGCCCAAATTAAAAGATTTATTAAGGTTATTGGTATGGGAAACTTGAAATACTGTGGCTACCATTTCTTTATTGTAAATAGCCTTGCATGACTTGAGTGACTTCATTACTCCAGTGATTCTCCCAGTATGTCATCTTCAAGTTCATTAGAAGAGCATAAAGCCTAAAGAACGCAAAGGAAGAGCATAAAGCATAAAGAAGCGTTGGGCAATTATCTCTCCCCAGTGCCACAGTGCCACAAAGAAAGGTAAAGCCATTCCAGTTCAAACTTGCAGTGGCTTCTTCTTGTGGAAAGACCCAACCTTACAAGCTATGTGTCTTCTAAAGGGCATAAGTGCTGCAGAGGTATATGAAGGTTGCAGAAGGAATCGAAGGGGTGGCTGCAGCAGGGAAGTGGCAGCAGGAAACCAGTCCTTTTAGAAGTGGTGGCAGTGGCACTGGTGCTGATGGGCTGTATAGGAGGTGGTGAAGCAGCAGCAGAGCTCGGCTTTGGTGCTGGCAAATGGCCTGAGCACAAATGTTGGCCTCTGCTGAAAAACAGAATTATGATCACTTTAGCTGAGAAAGGCAGTAGATCTCACATTTGCCATATCTTTTGAAACAAGATGTACTTGCTAATCCTCCAAGCTTAGGCAGGGAGCTGTGAGGATGCATAACCTGGCATCTACTGGCTACCTTGTCAGGCAGCTGGAAGAGGCAGATCAGCATTATTGCCAACGTGCCTGCGAGTAGCAGTAGTTTCATTCATATGTTGCTATTTATTTGGATTTTGTACTTATTCTTCCACAATTCCCCCAAAGAAAAGAATCGCTTCCTTAAATCCTTCTTTCTAAGTTTGTTATTTGCCATCTGGGAAACAGTTCATGCTCTTGAGCCAATGTGATTTACTTTCTTATGCTTGAGCAGAGTGAGGAACACAGCGGAATACAGTGTTTCTGATGAGAGTATCTAGAACATGAATCTGGCATGTTTGCTCCCTGGCATTGCCTGGTATTTGCATTTATGCAGCAACAAGCATAATATAAAAGCTCTTATATATATATGAATGTGCTTGTAAAAGTAGACCTCGGCTCTACATCTGGCTCTGAGCGGACATTAAGGTTTGTCCACATATTGTAACAAATCTCTGACAAGGCCTCCAATGCTGATGTTAATTGAATGTCTTTTTTTCTAGATATATTTTCAATGTTGCTTCTATCTGCTTGTCCAACCTGAATACTCTTGAGAAAAGGGAGATGACAAGAATTAATGCCTGTTTGCGTTAACTGTAACTTTATTGTCACTTAATTAAGCATGATTAATGTGAGGAGGCAAAGCAGAAATGTCAAGCTGTTTTCAACAGCTCTATACTGATGAGTTTGGAAAAACAAGCAGTAGCATTGCAGTGTTGATTACAATGAAATCCATCCAAAGATGCATTGTTTTGAAGGCATATTTTTTTTTTTCTCCAGCCTTTGGAAAGATTCTGGTAAATTGCCAATCACTGTTACTCTTGGAAATCTCACCTAAGACGGATGAACCAAAAACACAACCTCTCTTCTCCTCACATCCAAAACAAAGAAGAAACTTATGCTCAGAATTATTCAGTAATCATGAGACTGTTTAAGCTGTATTTGGATAATATATTCTGAATATATACAGGGAGAAGCCAGTTTTATATTGGGACTATTCCTTAGGAACCTTGTAAATTTAATTTACAGTCTTGATTCACCACCAAAAATAAAATGATAGGTTGGTTATGATTCCTCGTAGATCTAGCAGAATAGACCAAATAGCAGAAAGCTTGTGCATAAAGCATTAAATCTGGTAGGCCTGGCATTATCTAAGTTACTAGAAGTACCTTAGCTGTCTAAGTGCTACCTATGACTATATCTAGCAAACTCGCTTTCTTTTTTTCCCCTAGTGTTTTCTTTCTTGTAAAATATGTTCTGTTTTCATATAAAATATCAAGCCACTGAAGAAGTTACAGCACTGAGATGAATATATACAATGGATTTTTTTTTAATCATCACAAGGAATTGTAGTTTTACTGAGTTCTTCAATAAGAAACATAGGACTTGGGATGAGAATGCAAATTTCTGGGGTCTGTCAGGTGACAATCCAAAGAATTAGTCTAAGGGAGTGATTTAAAAATAGTCAGAAAATTGATATATGTATATATTTTTTTCCAAGAGATGTGACTGTATTGTCCTTTCTAATGGCTCAAGTGAAAGCATATGTGTTTTTTCTTCTTTGCTAAAAGGGAATGTTTTTTCCTCTTTTTCCTGTGACCTGGGAGCTAGCTGCATCCCATGAGGGACTTTTTCCTCATATTTTCTCTTGTGCTGAAGAATAAAGATGAAGTAAGAATTTCTGAGCAGTGAGATCTTGAGAGGAAGCAGCTCAAGGCTGCTGGATGTGGTTTCCCTTGCTCTCCTCCTCATTCCAACAGAACGTTTCCCTTTATATGTACTCCTGTCCCTACTCCCTTCTGTGGCAGGGAGAGAGCCTTACTTCATAGTTTCTCTCCAGCAAAGGAGGAATGGAAAATATGACAGTAAATGGAGGGGAAGCAGATGAAAAGAGGAGAAGAGGCTTGGAAAGAGGAAGAATTGGGCATATTTAAGACTGGAACAAGGACAAATAGGGAGTGGCTTGGGGAAAGACAAAATAATTATAGGGAAAAGTAGATGAAATCATTAAAATTAATAAATAAGGACATGAAAATAGAAGAGGAATGGGAAAAGTCTGAGTAAAAGAAAGATCTTGCAGGTATTATTTGTTAGACCTGTGTTACATTGATGCATTTAAAATTGGAAATTTATGATTTTTTGTATTTCAGAACTACTTTCTCTGGATTTTTTTTTTAAATCCCTGCCTTTAGAGGACTCTCTCAGTGGTCTTTCACCCCCATGTTATTGAGATCTAACTTTTCATAAACTATTTTAATTTATGACAAAACATTTACACACATTTAGAAAAACTAAGTTTTCATTTTGGCAAGTCAAAGCAGGAAAAGCCCACACAGACTGATCAGAAAGATTGGTCTCATCTGGCAAACAAAAGCAGGGCTTCTTCTCTTCTTTTGTTGCTATTTCATTGAATTATTACATATACTGAGGGATATTATTCCACTGAAGAGCCATGCTGAGAATACTATTGAGAACGTTATGAATACGGCCTTCGAAGAATTTTCATGTTTACTTAAGAAGCGAGAGCTCTAATTTTAGAAAAACTTTCCCCCACACGCTCATTTAAATTGGAGTTTTACGTAAGGAAATAAAACTTTCCTGTTATAGCTGGAGGGACAGGAGTTTGGAGGATGGATCTCGGGTGACCACTGAGTGATGTCACTCTCCTTGAGCGTTCAGCAGAACAGTCCTTTTTGGGAGAAACAATTTACTCGTTGCCCCATGTTTTCACTGGACTAGAGCCTTGCCATTTTAAATATCTAGCCATGGTCTCTGATTCGGGGGTATAGTGCCTTGGTGGGTTTTAGTGGAGACCGTCAGGCTACTTACGTAGCCTTGAAGAGCATTTCAGTCTTAGCCACATAATTATAAGGTGCTTTGTCATCTGGCTGGGCTCAAGAGAGTAGTTATGTGAGTCATGTGAATTAGAACCTGATATTTCATAGTATCATTGATTGTGTCCAAAACAAATTTTGCTGTTGCTGTCTCTCTCTCCTCTCTCTCTCTCTCCTTGAAAGTGCTGTCAACTGTTTTCTGTTTTCCTGAAGTGATGGAGATAAAGCCATCTGTCATCCCCCTTCAGTCCTCCTTTTGATGGGGAAACTGTTGCACAACATGGTAGGGAAATGAAAATGTAATATCGGTCTGTGATGCACCTTTATGTAATTGGTAAAATGTAAAGCAATGCCATTTTATTGCTTACTTAGCAGTAATTTAACTATTTATAAAATTGTAGCCTTTGTCAAATGATTTCTGATTTAATAACAGGTCTCGTATCA